AAATATTGCTAGTGGGTGGAGTCAGGCTCTGACCAGGGGTTTAGTTACCCTTTAATGCTTATTATTTTCTGGACTGTGTTATTGACTTTCTATGATTAATGTGCACACTACTATGCAACATACCTCATGCAATTGTTCAAATGATGTATTTGTAATGTAATTTAATTACAATAAGTGCTCAGGGAAGCAGAGGTGCTGTGAAAGGAAGCCAGAAGGCAATTAATGTGCATTTGTACTCTACAGGGAGTCAATAAATTGTGAAAGTCATCATATCCTGAGTCGTCCTTTACATCGCCTGACCAAGTCCGTTACATCAGTACAGATGATCAGATATCCTGAGCAAATCCTCATTTACATGATCAATTATAAAACTCTTCTATCATGATTTATTTCTCCTTCTACAGGAAGAACATGAACACACTCAGTGAGTTTTCATGCTTGTTTTCTAGTGACTCACATTGTAGGAAGTCGTTCCTGGTCTTGGGATTCATGTTGGTGAAAGTGACTGTGGAAATAAACAGACATGAACAGTGTGAAGAGAAATGACAGATCAAATACGTTCATTTCTGAGACATTTCTAATATAATGCTGTATGATATTAGATGATGGACTCATTTCTGAGAGCTGATGAATAATCTCCAGGGGCTTCATTTATAAAACACACACATCGGATTGATCCGTTCATCCGATTGTTCAGATTTGGGCTCTTTCTCACACGTGTGTATAAACGAGGCGCAGGACTTTACCTCCGTCTGAGATCTTCTTGATCTCCTCTTTGCAGAAATCCTCCAGTTTGTCTCTCAGCCGACGGACAGATTCTCTCACGCCATCAAAAGAGGAGAGAGAACCGAAGGGAACGTCGGGTTCGTCTGTAGATTCAGGAGGAGCTGAGAGAGACTGGAAACTCTACAGAAAACACAAATCAAAACTCATCATCTCCACACTTCAGCCAATAACCTGCACTGTATCAGATCTGGGGTGCGTTTCCCCAGTCCAACGTAGTTCACTGTTTCACTACCATAGTACGATGCATCGTTGGAAAAATCAACGACTGTTTCCCGAAACCCACTGTCGCAAAGTATCGTTCAACCACGTTGGTTTCGCACGTGGTGGAGTAATAACTGCTTTTAATGAAACTGTTTGAGATCCAATTAACGCTCGATTTGTTTTATATAAATTACAGACATGTCATCTGAGGACTATTTCTAATTGTTCTCAGTTGTTTTGCTTTATTACCAGACTCAATATTTGGCTCGTTCTTACATAGTGGAGCGCGTTCGCACATGCGCACTCTTCAAACACAGTACTTCAAATCTTTTGACAAACTAAAAGACGTAAATTACATTTGTAAGTATTCTAAATAAAAGACACCAGTTGTACTGAATGTCAGCTTGCTCATTATGCTCAAGATAAGGATTTATTACCTCCAATGTGTTGCAATATAGAAACGATGCCTCTAACCACAGGTCGAGAGCTGTCGTTCAAACCACACAACTTTGCGATGCTGTTTGCGAATGTTCGCTGGAACGATGGTTTCGGGAAACACCGAATCGTTGAACCATGCTGATAACGAGGAACTTGCGACCATAGTTGGCTAACGATGCTTTCGGGAAACGCACCCCTGTGCGGCTCTTGTAGACTTGACTTCTCTTCAGTGACTCGCTTCAATCCAGCACTTTCACACAATCGGCTCATTTTTAATGGTCCATTTCCCAGGGCTTTGTAAGTGCGTCTCTTTAAACAGAAGATGATCAGATGAGCGTCTGACTGATGATTATATGATAACACAACACTCGACTGAATCTGACTGAATTCCTGACAACATCTCAGTCAACGGCTCATTCTGCTCTCATCAAATGTTTCTCTGTGAGTCTCTTGCTCAAGTCCACTATGATCCTGTTCTCCTAGATCTCTGTTACCTGCAGGAACTGGATGTGATCTTGTGTGTGTGAAAGCTGCTCCAGCTCAGCGTCTCTCCTCCTCAGATCATTGATCTCCTGCTCCAGTCGCTCCAGTCGTCCTTCAGCTCGACTCACTGCAGTCTTTTCCTGATCTCTGATCCGCTGTGTCGCCTCAGAGCGGCTTCTCTCAATGGAGCGGATGATCTCAGTGAAGATCTTCTCACTGTCCTCCACTGCTGTGTGTGCAGAGCGCTGTTACACACACATCACAATCACACAGTGAGTTCAGTGAGTCCAAACTGAGACGTCTCACACTTCTCTTCTTCTCCAGACTCACCTTATGAGACTTCACATCCTCTCTCAGCTGATGAAGATCTTTCTGTCTCTGCTGGATTCTCTGACGGATCTTCATCTGCGTCTCCTTCAGCTGTTTCTGGAGGACAAACCAATGACAGCGAATGACAACTGAAATGTCAACATTATTTCATCAGTGTCCAGTTTTATGTGAATCCTTCACCCTAAAGTTTTAATTCTGTCATCATTTACTCTTCCTCAAGTCGCTCCAAACCTGTATGACTTTCTCTCTATTGAGAGACACAACAGAAGATATTTAGAAGAACGTCTCAGTTGTTTAAAAATGGTGACACGTCAATAACATCAATCCTCATTGGTTCTTGCACGTCACAGTCACATGACACACATAACATCATGATGTCATCACACAAACATCAGTGAAGTTTGATGTTTCTGATGTCATCATATTTGATTTGGGCTCCACATACATGAGTTTATCAATGATTTGATTTAATTTGTGAATCAAACTTTGTCCCTTTTAAAAAGTGTACTTATTTTGGAAATAATATACTACTAAAATGGTGAAATAAGTGTGAACTGAATGTAATGTTTTCAGACACGTATTTGCATGTTAATTGCTATTAAATTAATAAAAAATATTAACGGAGGTCATACAGGCAACATGAGGGTGAGTCATTAATGAAATCATTTTCATTTTTGGGTTAACTAACCCTTCAAGAGTTACATTTTGACCCACCTAAATAGTATTTAATGTAATTTCATAATTCTGTTGAGTTAAATTGAAATATTAAATATTATTAAAATATACTTAAAAGTAATACTTACATAAACCTTTACACTTTATAAAGTGTACTTTCTAAAGTGTAATTATGAAAGAGTCATGAAAGTTAACTCTCTTTTAGTGCACTTAAGTGTCCTTTCATTATATTAATATAATATTATCTGCAAGTGCAGTTTTTTTTAAATACACTTTTGATTTGAAGTACACTACAAGTGCATGTCAATACAATTAATTGCACTTCTTTCTTTAACCACTAGTTGTTTGATTTACTTTTATGCTTTTTCTCCTTTTTGGAGCTTGAGACTTTTGTACTCTTTGACTTTCAATGTATAAACTAAAATAAATGAGACATTCTTCAATTATCATCTTTTATATTCCACAGAAGAAACTCAGTCAAACCAGTTTGGACCAACATGAGTAAACGAGACACTTTGATTTCTGCGTGATCAATCTCTCTCAGTTCATACCTGTTTCTCTGTCCTCTGTGCTGCAGTTGATACAGTGTTGTGGTTTTTATGTTCACTCTCTTTACACCACACACAGATGCACTGTTGATCAGTGATACAGAACATTTCTAGCTCTTTATCATGTTTACGGCAGATCATGTCCTGCAGTCGTCCAGTGGCATCAATCACTTTGTGTGGTTTACGAGAGTGAAATTCCTCATGACGGTCAAAATGAGTTTGACAGTAAGACTCCTGACACACCAGACAGGACTTGACGGCTTTGTGTTTTCTTCCAGTACAGACGTCACACTCCACGTCTCCAGCTCCAGCGTAACAGTCAGCAGGAAGTTTAGTCTTCTTCAGTTTCTCCACCAGTTCAGCCAGAATGGTGTTTTTCCCTAAAGCAGGTCTTGGACTGAAGGTCTGTCTGCACTGAGGGCAGCTGTAGACGCTCTTCTCATCCTCCTGATCCCAGCAGTCTGTAATACAGATCTTACAGTAACTGTGTCCACAGTGGATAGTCACTGGATCCTTCAGGAGATCCAGACACACTGAACACGTGAACTCATCCTGACCCACTGAAATTCTTCCTTCTGCCATTTTACTGAATACAGAGACACAAACACACAACAGCTCAACAACACTCGAGTTTCTGTTTCTCTGAACTGAGAAGTTGAAATGGTTTCCTGCTTGTGTGTTTGAGTGACGTGTGTAAAACAGGGGTGTGTGTAAAGCAGCTTCATCATTCCTGGTGAAGGAGAGTCACTTTACTGCTGTGTTTATGTGTCCTAGTGGAGTCAAACACATTGTAAATATGAGTTCAGAGCACATGAATAAACCAATCAGGTAAATTCTGCTTTACACAGTAAAGTTTTTATGACTCAATTCCGTCCGTGTTTGGGCAGAAAAATAAATTGTAATAAAGTTAACAAATTTTGCAATTACGTAAAAAAAGTATAGTGATGACAATTTACAGTAGTAAGGTGAATATATTGTATACTATGCACTGAATATTGTAGTATGTTTACTGTGAGACTTGTTACAGCGTCTTGTAAACTGTTGCCCATATGCGCCGATTTATGTTTCTGGTAATGTTACCAAACAAACAAAAGCATATTCTTTCAATTCAATAAATAAATTACCTATTATGTTTATTCTAACACTGTAATAAATAATAGAAAGAACCATTATTACCACAGATGGTTCATATTAGAAATAAAGTTAAAGAAATCTTCACTAATTTACTTAGACCTCTGTCATTTTTTTTATGAGAATATTTTGGCTTTTTGGCTTGACTAAAAATTGTGAGGAGGATTGTTCTTATCTAATTGATTCACTTTTTATTACCAAATTTCACATTCGTAATGCAAGTTTACTGTTTAAGGTATTGAGTGAAGCAAAGTTGGACAGATGCCTTGATTAAGAAAGCCATTGTGATTTTTAAAAGTTTATGAGCTTTACAAATATTAATTTGATATTTGTATGATATTGTACCGTATTTTTTATTTTATTTATTTATATTTAGGCCAGGGTAGTTAGTTGTTTTGCTAACCGACATCGCTGAAAAATGCTTTTACATATGCAAAATGCTAATTCACTTCCGGTTTTTGTACTCGCCATTTTGAGAGCGAGTGCGCGCGCGTGCTCATTGTTGTGCTCGCGGAGCTCACGGCAACTAGAGTTCGTTCAGTACTAGAACAGGCGAGTCGACTCAGTTTGAAGACACAAAGCGAAGTGAATTCTGTTAGTTTGTTGGGCAACAAACTTAAAATGAGTTACGGCAGGCCTCCACCCGACGTAGAAGGCATGACATCGTTAAAAGTGGATAATTTAACGTATCGCACGTCGCCAGAGACGCTGCGGCGCGTCTTTGAAAAGTACGGCCGAGTTGGGGACGTTTATATTCCCCGAGATCGATACACGAAAGAGAGCCGGGGGTTCGCCTTTGTGCGCTTTCACGACAAGCGGGATGCCGAGGACGCGATGGACGCGATGGATGGGGCGATTCTAGACGGGCGAGAGCTCCGGGTTCAGATGGCCCGTTACGGCAGGCCGCCAGACTCCTACTACGGCGGGCGTCGCGGCGGGGGAGCCGCTAGAAGACACGGAGGACACGGCCGCCGCAGCCGGAGGTAAACAATACCTCACATCAGACAGAGTTTATCTGCGTATAGGGCTTTTCTATGTGTTTTTACAATCCGTTTTGTTTTTCTTACGAGGACCATTAGTTCAGTCCGCTTTCCATGACGTCACATGCACTTAGAGGACTGATGCAGTTTCATTTTAAATCATGTTTTTCTTATTATATGGACTTTAACGCATTTCACGGTTGCTTTTATCTTTCTTTTACTGTCGTTATGGCTTTTATTTACCTGACAGCGAGTGTCTATGTCCGGAAGAGCTCCTTACTGCTTATATTGGCAGAATATAACGTTATTATTTAACTTAGGTTAAGGTTAACTTAGCCTACGGTGCATACACAACATTTCGTTTCAAAGTGACTAATAAGCTGTTTACAAACTTATCGATCAGATAATGTGCAGTATTTTGCGTTAAGCTAAATACGTTTATGACTGTGTGGCATAGGCTCGTTCACATCAAGACACGCATACTGTGATTTTCGAGGTTAATCAGTGGTTTGTTTCTGTTGAAGCAGTTCTTCTTCTTCTTCTTCCTGTTTAATGGCGATTAACTCCTAAGGAGCATTATCGCCACCTACTGTGCTGCTAGATGGCAAATTAACCTTGGGTGATGAGTCTGGATTCAAAAAAAAAAAAAAAAAAAAAAAAAAAAAACTGTCTACCTATATCATCTCAAATACATCAACATTCATTATCATACCTGCAATAGAGGTTTCATTGGGCTTCATCCGGCGCTGCGTGTTCAGCTCCTCCGTCCACACTCATCCCCCATGGCAGGTTCAACATTACACACTTACTATATTCTATATCCCAAACCTGAATCATATATGAATGTAAATAATGCTCTATATATCTGTCTATCCATTAAACCTTTTCCTAGAATATCCTCACTCTTCATTCTTTCCTCTCCATTCTTCAAATGACTGAATAACACATCCCGAAAAATATTATATTTACTACAACTAAATAATACATGACAAACATTTTCAGATACACCACATTCATCACATAATCCAGTCTCATGTAATCCCATAATTGCCAGTGTTGAGTTTAACCCTGTATGTCCCAGTCTTAACCTAGACAGCAAAACCTCTTCTTTCCTATTTCTTCCCTGGCAGTTTACCCTCCCTACTATCTTTGTGATACTATGACACCACCTCCCATTGCTACTACTATCCCATCTAATTTGCCATTTATTTATTAACTTCCTCTTTAAAATTGATTTTGCCTCCTTTTTCCCCATAGGTACTCTAACATCCACCTCTCTCTTTTCTAGCGCTTTTTTTGCTAGTTTATCAGCAACTTCATTACCAGATACCCCAACATGTGCTGGTACCCAACAAAAATACACTACTATTCCAGCCTCTTTCAGTCTGTATAATGATAAATATATTTCCATTATCAAATCTTCTCTGTCTGATCTTGCATGTAATATACTAATTAAAGCTGAAGAAGAATCTGAACATATGACTACTTTATTTGGTCTGACTTGTTCAACCCATTGTAGTCCTATTATTATAGCTGTTAACTCTGCAGTGTACACGGACACCTCATCAGTCAACCTCAAACTAATCTGTTTTTAAAGTGTGGAATAAACACTCCTACTCCAACCTTTTGACTGATAGGTTCCTTAGAACCATCTGTAAATATTTTTAATACTGTATAAAATGTGTTATCTAAAAAGGCATTAATCTCCTTTCCAATGTACTCTTCTTTGGACTTGTTTAATAAACTCAAAACTACAAGCGGTTCAGGGACTTTCCAAGGTGGAGTATCAGTAAGTGGTATATTGGGACAGAAGATCTTATTGTCCATGCCGCATTCCTTAGCCCATACTTTACTCGTCCATCCAAAACTGTGTCCTTCATCATATGAGTATTCCCAGCACTCCTCCAATACTTTGCGAGTAAGGTGATTATTTGCTGATTGTTGGAGATTTACCCAATATGTAATTGCCAGTTTTTCCCTTCTAATATCTAGAGGCATCTCTCCCATTTCTACTCCAATTGCATCTACAGGGGATGTTTTAATTGCTCCACAACATAATCTTAATGCTTTAGATTGAATTATATCTAATTTTTTCAGCAATGACTTTGATGCTGAACCATATACAATACATCCATAATCAAAACAAGAACGAATCAATGCTTGATACATGCACAACAATGCACTACGGCTAGCTCCCCACTTGTGACTAGCAACCGTACGCATACAATTTAAGATTTTCTTACATTTTGACTCAATTTTACTTATATGACACTTCCATGTTAGTTTTTCATCAAACCATAATCCAAGATATTTAAAAACAGGTACTCTTTCCATTGTTTGTTCATATAACTTCAGATTTAACTGTTCATTCCTCTTGTTCTTTGTGAATATCATATATTGTGTTTTAGATACTGAAAACTTTAGACCCCAGTCCAAAGACCATTTTTCCACTTCTTTAATTGACTCCTGTATACCTTTACCCACATTTTTAATATTACGGCCTCTCTTCCATAGTGCTCCGTCATCTGCATACAGAGCTAATCCTATTCCTGGTTTATTCACTTTATCGAAAACATCATTGATCATTAAATTAAACAATAATGGACTAATTGCACTACCCTGTGGAGTTCCATTTAGAATATTATAAGGAGCTGATAATTCTTCCCCAATTTTCACCTGAAAGGTGCGTTCAAATAAAAATTCTAAAACCCAATTATAAAATTTTCCACCTATTCCAATTTTATTCAGTTTAATTAGCAAACCTTCCCTCCACAAAGTGTCATAAGCCTTTTCTATATCAAAGAAGACTGCAATCATGTACTCTTTCATTATAAAAGCTTTTTTAATTTCATTTTCAAACAATACTAAAGCATCTGCTGTAGACCTGCTTTTCCTAAAACCACTTTGAAATTTTGTCAACAGTTCTCTTTTCTCTAAAATATAATTCATTCGTTTTACAATCATTTTTTCCATTACTTTACATAGCGTAGAAGTAAGAGCGATAGGTCTATAATTACCAGATTTTGTTATATCTTTCCCAGGCTTAGCAAAAGGAAGCACAATTGCCGTTTTCCATTGCTTAGGAAGGATACCCTCATTCCATATATAATTATATAAATCCAGTAATACTTCTAATGCTTTTGGTGATAATTTCTTTAAAATTTGATAGCTTATCAAATCTTTTCCTGGTGTGGTACTCTTTGAATTATTAATTGCTGTTTTTAATTCAAAATAACTAAACTCATCATCCAAAATATTATTGAACTCTTGTTTTTTCTTGCAAACATCTCCATAGACATTCTTAATTTGCTGACGTCTTGTTAAAAATGTATCATCTAAATTATCAATGCTATGAGCTTTAGCAAATGTTTGAGCCAATAAAGTAGCCTTATCTTTATCTGTGATAGCTACCTTCCCATTTTCCTCCAGGACAGGTATTTTTTTAAAACTATCAATTCCATTCATCTTTTTAATCATACGCCAGACTGCATTTATTTGAGTTTCTCTCCCAATCGTGTCACAAAAGTTTTGCCATGCTGACCTTTTTGTACTTTTAATAATCTTTTTAACATAAGCCCTTTTTCTTTGATAATCTATGACTGCTTCTGGTGTGAGTGTTCTTTTTAAAAACTGAAATGCTTTATTCCTTTCTCTGATTGCTGCCGAGCACTCCTCTGACCACCATGGCACATTCTTTCTTGTTTTTATACCACTTGATAGAGGGATAGACTGAGAAGTTGCAAAATAAATGGCATTCACTACTTTGTTATATCTGTCATCAACACTACCCTCTATTGAGAGATCTTTGAACTGTTCTTCACATAACATTTGGAATTTTTCCCAATCTGCTTTCTTATATATCCATCTTACACCATAATTACCTTTTTGTAGTTGAATCTTATTTTGAATTACACATGTCACTGGAAAATGATCACTTCCTATATTATCTTTAGATACAGACCATTCACATTTGTCAGCTAATGATGCTGAAACTAATGTGATATCCAGACATGACATTCTACCTCTTGCTATGTCTATTCTTGTTGGATTGCCATCATTTAAACATACTAAGGAGTTATCTTCCATGAACTCTTCTATTATTTCTCCATTTTTATCTGTACTCCTGCTACCCCATATACAATTGTGAGCATTAAAATCACCACATATAATAATTTTGTTTGCCTTTTCACCCGTGATCATTTTCAGGATATCCATTGTTAGTTCTGAACATGGATTATAAAAATTTACCACTCTAATTACCCCCTGTGTACCCATTATCTCTATACATATACACTCCGTATTTCCCTCATTACTTCTTTGTCTATATATTACATTTTCTTTTATGAATGTTGCACACCCCCCACCTCTACCATTAATCCTGTCCTTCCTTATTACCTCATAGCCATTCATCCTAAAGTCCAATGATTTACATAACCATGTTTCTTGTATACAAATGATATCAGGAGATTTATTCATATCTGCAATATACTTTTTAAACTCCTGACCATTAGCGATTAGGCTTCTGGCATTCCAATGAAGCAACAGGAAAGACATGATAATGTTATACATCATTACATTGAGATGCTTCATAATTTGTTGTTATTCCACCTTCTGTTCTCCCTTCTTTAGACTGTAGAATCTTGTGAACTTGTTCTGCTGATATACCGATGCAGTTCAAAAACTTGTTTGCACAGTCTACCACAATTTTTATTTTATCAGATCTTCGTCCTACCTGCCCAGTTCCATTCACCACTGCACAGATAAAAGCTACAAAATCAGTTTTGTTCATGCTAATGTCATCATTTGAGTCATTCTTTATCAAGTTCAACCGATCCATTGATTTATCAATCTGAGAGGTTTGTTCCATTCCGGCATGTTTTCTTGTATCACTTACATGTTTCACTCTACGAGCTGCTTCTGCATATGTTACATTCTGGGTGGATTTTACCTTTTGTATTACACGAGCCTGTTGTTGTACTGGACATCCTGCATATGCAGCGCTGTGTTCTCCACCACAGTTGCAACACTTGATCTCGGCTCCTTCCTGGCACTTCCCATACTCATGCTCCCCTCCACATTTCGCACAACGCATTTTCCCTTTGCAAACATTAGCAGTATGACCTATGCGCTGACATTTATAACAACGCAAGGGAGGAGGTACATACTCCCGTACCACATAACTGATGAAACCTAGTTTTACCTTGACTGGTAAAATGCTGTCTTCAAAGTGTAACAGCACAGAAAGACTATCACACTTTACATTATCTTTCCATGTCGTCAATCTTCTTGCTAAAGCAACTTTGCCTCCAATCAGGTTTTCTTTTACTTCTTCCATAGTTACATTTAAAGGAACTGCTGAAATAACACCACGTTTCTTAACATCTATTCCAGCACAGGTTATTTTACCACCAGCTAGTGTTTTCAGTTTTAGAATCTTTGCTTTCTGATTTTCATCCTTACACTTAATCAAGACTCTTCCATTACTCATACATGTTGCTCCTTTCACTGATCCCACTTCTTTTTCTATCGCTTTTGATAGTTTAACAGGATGCATGTATTGCTCTGCTTGTTTGACAAATGTGATGATAACTTTTATTTCCTTTTCCTCATTGTTTCTCATCAACCTTTGCCCTGAATCCCTGTTTTTACTTGTGAATTCAAACTCATCACCCATGTTACTTCCTTTTTTCCTTTTATTATATCGTACTTCTTGGAAGTCCATATCTTGATTGTCATCATCGGATGAATCATCCATTATATCCACCTACTTCAATTCAAGAATCGTTCCTGATTTGTCCTTTTTGAATCTTGTCCTGATTCTGTTCAGTTAATTTGTCCTGACGTTCCTTCCACCGCTGCCAGCGTCGACGTTCCGTGCGACCAGCTCAGTCCACTCTGGGAAGAAAAGGATGTGACGCCCTGTTGAAGCAGTCGGGGGGACTGTTGCTGTTGTTTAGTTGCGTAAACTACATTACCCATGATCCTCTACAGAATATTCCACCAATCATGGAGTCGCGCCGAGGCAATCGCGCCAAAAGAGCTCTTTAGCCCCGCCCCCTGTCATGAAGAGCTGCGAATGACATAATCGAGGCGGTTTAAATATGTATATTTTGCAATAAACTTTAATGTATTGTATATAATATAACTATAGTTATATCCAATAATTTATAAAATATAAATGTATAGATATAACTTTAAATTCATATTTGTATATTTCTCCATAGTTTTAAATAGATTGTCTTTCACAATGTTTCATGGGATTGTAGTTCTTCCCTCAGTAAATCCATATTAATTATACAGTCTTTTACCTTTTTTGTAAAAGGGCAAAGTTTTTTTTGTCTGATTTTCAAAAACATTTTCCAAATCAAAGTTTGTAATGTTGTTATCTTCACTGTGAATTAGAACCATTATTATTATAGCTTTATATTTTTTGTTTTAGAACCAAGAATGATATTTAACCAAGAACTTATATTTATTTGTTCTGTTTATTATACATGCATGCTGCAGTTTTGTAGTCTGTCGCTTTCAATGCTTGAGCTCTTTACAGCAGGATGGATTCTGATTGGCTATGTTTTTATCATTCATCAGCTGGAAAAAAAAAACAATCTGAAAGTGATTCCAATTACATCATTCCTCTGTGCCATTATAGTTCTTGTGTGGATTTCACTATTCTCACAGAACTAAAAAACGCTTATTAAAACTTTATTGTTGTGAATTTTCCAATATCTTACCAAGTTGAGTGAAAGTGCAGGTCTGTGTACAGAGTCTTTTAAAATAATCCATCACTTTTCTTTATCTCCACCCACAGTCCGAGGCGTCGGAGACGCAGCCGCTCCAGAAGCAGGAGCCGCTCTCGTTCCCGCAGCCGTTCCCGTTACAGCAGGTCGAGGTCCCGCTCCTATTCCCGCTCTCGCTCCAAATCACACACTCCCCGCAAGAGGAAGTCCAAGTCCCCTTCCAGGTCTAGGTCACGTTCTCGATCCAAATCCAGGTCCCGTTCCAGAAGCCGCACGCCTGCATCGAACAGAGGGTCCAGGTCCAGGTCTAAAAGCCAGCCAAAGTCTGCAGGGGAAGACGGACCGGCTTCATCCTAAAACACTTCAGTGGTAAGAAAACGTGACCCTGGACAATGATGTGCTGGAATGCGTTTGCTTATTCTTTGCAGATGCATCGCATTGGTAAAAATGCGGGTTTTGGTTCTGCTTTGACAATGCTGTTGAACTCAATGTGGAATTGTTTCCTCCAAGCTGCTGAATCCAGTATGGCAATGTAAAAGCAGAGCTGTGTTGAGCTGTTAGAGGTGTACCTGCTCCTGTTGGGGTTGCTTTGAAGCAGATGGGTGTTTTGGTGGTGCTGAGGTACGTCTACGAGACAACGGACAGACAGCGTCCTGCCATAGACAAAAGTCAAACACAAACTCGCTGCCAGTTGCTTGCTTTAACCTGGAAATGGGAATAAACGTAGTACGTGAGTTAACTAGGAGGCTGGCACGACTAAAGTCTTATCTAACCCCTGTGCAAAACTAAATTAGATTATTTATAGCAGGTGATTTGGGCTGGGTATCGAGTTCGATACTTTTTAGGCACCGACCGAATTGCCTCTACCATCGAGTATCAAACAAATCTCCAAATTTCGAGACCTAAGGGGTTGATCTCGTCAACGTGCCAACAGCATGATTGGCTGTTACGAGGCATCAAGGAAAAACACTAGATACACCCAGAGACGTGGCTCAAAGTAGGGCTGGGCGCTAAAACGATAACGATAATTATCGCGATATAATTTTTCTCGATAAAACAAAATCAAGACGTCGATAAATGTTTTTGCGCCAAAATGGTTGACCAATGGTTAATTTTAATACAACTCAAACAGTCAGAATATTACTTTTTACCAAATAAAAATTTGGTCGTTACATAAAAAAAAAACAGATGTTACTGTTTTTGTTAATGAACAATTTTAAAGAGTAGTTTAAAAACACAATTAACACTCTGGTTTATACAACTTTCACTTAGGAGCAAAAATCTGCCTTTAAACTTTTGACATATATCGTGATAATTATCGATATCGACTGATATAAAAAAAAGTATCGTGATTTTTTTGGGCCATATCGCCCAGCCCAAGCTCAAAGTGTGGCTATATATCACCAGGCTTGATACCAACAGCGTCTTCGACTGCACGAAAAGAACTGGGGCGCGTCATAAATGAACCGAAACTCAACGTATAGCTACTTGCCTCACAGACATGAGAAATAGGCCTATAGAAAGCTGGAAATGTCTACTTTTAAAACAAACCAATTTAAATTGAAAATAGGCTTGCCGCGATAGACGGTGTTGACGGTGTTACCGGTTTTAAGCCCCATCACCGGTGACATCACTTTCCCACCGTGACACCGCGATGTCTTGACTTTTTTTTAAAAAAGTAGCCTATTCGTTTTTGCTAAATATTTATTTTGATTAATTAAAAATAATAATTTTCAATTATTAGTTCTGAAGAGAGCATTATAATTAAAAATGAACTGCGCAACGCGTGCCGTCACGTCACAGATCAGCAAGCATCAGGATTCCATTTAGCACGTGTTGAGACGAGAACGAGTCAAATTACAGAAAAGCAAGATAATGGCGGAAGATTTGGTGTCAAAAACGCAATGCAAAAGCGGCCTGTTTGGCAATATTTTGGCCAATATATATTAATGTTAATAAATGCCAATTTATAGCCTAGTGTTTTACTTTTTTTTAGAGTGCTGTCATTTATGTAGGCTAAGGTCCTTTTTAAAGTTTTTATTTTATATTCGTCTCTTTTTATTTGGTTTTATCTTATTTAAACTTTGTTTAATTTATTTAGGCCTATTTTGTTTTCTTATTCGTTAATAAACGTTTTATTTATTTATTTTGGGCCCACAGTTTGCCGATTTTCACTTTTTTCAGCCTATGCATGGGGTTATTTTATTCGTTCGTTATGCTAATAAAAGTTCTGTCTATATTTTATTCGTTTATTATTCTAATAAAAGTGCTGTCTAAATAAAAGTTTATTTGTCAGTGAGTTTTTTTTTTTTTTTTTTTTTTTTTTTTTGTCCATTCCAGCAATTGACGCTGAATTGCAATTGACGCTTATTTCGAAAGTGAAAGTATGTCATTTATGTAGGCTAAGGTCGTTTTGAAGTTTTTTATTTTATATTCGTCTCTTTTTAATTGGTTTTATCTCATTTAAACTTTGTGTAATTTATTTAGGCCTATTTTATTTTCTTATTCGTTAATAAACGTTTTATGGTTCTTATTTGTTTGGGCCCACATTTTGCCGATTTCACTTTTTTCAGCCTATGCATGGGGTTATTTTTATTCGTTCGTTATGCTAATTAAAGTCTATAAATAAAAGTTTTATTATCAGCGAGTTGTTTTTTTTTTTGTCCATTCAAGCAATTGACGCTTATTTCGAAAGTGAAAGTATAACGCGCACGCATTTAAAAGCTATTTAACCCCCCCGCCCTGCCCTCCACGGTGACACCGGGATTACCGGTGTTGTCACACGTCGATTAACCGGTGGGAAATTTTCCTCACCGCGGCAACCCTAATTGAAAACAAAAACTCTGATTATGTAATCCACATGAAAGATGAAGTTGACGTTGCGGACTCATCATTTCCGCAATATAGAGAATATTGCGGAGATGATGAGTACGCAACGTCAACTTCATCTTTGCAGCCAGCACTGACTCAAACACTAGTTTATTAATACGAAATTAAAATGTCTCGAAAAATGCATATTTGTATTGAAAAAAGTATTGTTCAGGAACCGGTATCGAAATCAAGGTATCAGAACATTTTTGATCGATACCCAGCCCTACAGATGAATTAGTCCGGCGATCAGTGCAAAAAATATATTATGTAACATCAGTTTAAAACTAAAGTAAACTAACATTATGAGACTAATAGTGTCATTCTGATTGGATGAAACGCATTTAAAGTCAAGTTATGAGCACATGCGACCGGACGTCATACTGCCAGAAATCTAGTCGTTTTAATGGGATGTCATTAACACATCACTAGGGTTGGGTATCGAGAATCGAGTATCGATTGGAAACGGGACTAACTTTTCGTTTTTCCCGGAATCGTTCAAAAGTTAAAATTTCGATTCCTAGTTTCGATATTCACAGTCCGCCGAGCGGAAGAAGAAACCGCTGAACAACACCAAGGAAGAAGCGTCTACCGGAAGTGTTGGCATAACCGCGCGAGTCGAACATGAGTAGCTTACGTCGGCGGTCCAAAGTGTGGCTTCACTTTTCTAAAAATAACGAAATCTCGGCAAAATGCAAAATTTTTGACAAAAGGAGTATTTGTGACAGAAGGAGTATTTCCTTCAGAAAGGATTATTTCCTTCAGAAAGGCCGTTGGTTAGCAAGGTTAGCTAAACTTTTTTGACCCTGCCTCTTAAAAGAATCGGAATCGAGAATCGTTAGGAACCGGAATCGAAACAAGGAATCAGAATCAGAATCAGAATCGTTCAAATTCAAACGATACCCAACCCTACACATCACACATTGTATCTTTTTTTTATGTGTATAGAGATATATTTGTATAATATGTGTATTTTTTGGTGCTATGGTTAACTGTCCATGTCATCTTGATCCCCAGAGACTGTGTTTTTTTTCTCTCTCTCTATTATTTCCCCATCTTTCATTTCCATGTTTGGGTGCATTCACACCATGTCGTAATTACGAGATTCCGACTTGTAAAAAGCGTTGATGTCCTGGTAGAACGGGAAAGCGTCGTGTGTTGCGATCTCGTAATTACGACATGGCTTGTTCACATGCTCCGTCACATGCCTGACCGCTGTTTTGTGTTCTCTCAGGTCCGTCTCGTCATGGGGCGATTGTAAATGCGTGACCCCGGTTGGCGCCTGAGGAACCCCGGATTGAAAACCCTGAAATCTACGCAAAGGCTACATGGGCCTAAAGGTCATTATGACTGATTGGCTTATTCTAACCGTTGAAGAGTTATACAGCCCTTTGTTCTTTGTATACATTGTTCCTGTTTTAAACGTGTATGTCCTTTTTAATTCGTTGAGTAGGACGAGCATCACAATTCTATTGGGCTTTAAGGTAACCCTGTTTCGGTGATGGATCTGAGAGTGCTAGCTGCACCTCACTTGTGTCACTTTTGTAAGACACTGTTTAGAAATTAATCTAGATTTGGCTTTTTGTTGTTGTTGTTGTTAAAAATCTGCGTATAATTATTTCTCTGCTTTGTTTTTGAAATCATTTGGAAAGTATGAATAGCTTGTGTTCTGATTACTTTATATCCCAGTTCTGATGTTAAACCGATTTTTTTATTATATACATATAGTTAATTTGGCTTTTCATGAGTGATTATTTGGATTCTTCTAACCCAATGTCTTGTGTATTTTTTGTGCACTAGGCGCAGTTGTCTAGCTGTTGAGTTTTGCTGGTTAGCTGTTAAGATCCGGTGTTGCGGTGCTGAGTGCTTGGCTGTTTCCGGTTTTCTCCAGTTTGCTGCTGTTGCAGGTGTGGTCGAGGTCAAGCAGCATCAGCACAATAAAAAATCCGGTGGCCAAAGCGCTGTCGTCCGTTAAATTGTGATACAGTTTGGAAAGTTTGGAGTATCTTAAACTGTACCAATCAACATTGTTCTGTCCTGGATCTTCAATAAACCAGTTATTAAAT